TTGAGGAAGGTCATCCTCTCCCTCTATTCTACCCTGGGGAGATCACATTTGGATTACTGCATCCAGTTCTGGGCTCCTCAGTTCAAAAAAGACAGTGATCTCCTAGAAAGAGTCCAGTGGAGGGTGAAAAAGATGATAAAGGGTTTGGAGCATCTCCTGTATGAGGAAAGACTGAGTAACCTGGGTCTGTTCAGTGAAGAGAGGACTGAGATCGGATCTGATTGGTGTTTATAAATATCTAAAATGAAGGAAGCAATTGGTTGAGGCCAGACTCTTTTCAGTTGTGTGTAGTGATAGGACAAGGAGCAATGACCAAAAACTGAAACACAGGAAGTTCCACACAAATATGTGGAAGAACGTTGTTACAGTGAGGGTGACAAAGCACTGGAACAGGCTTCCCAGAGAATGTGCAGTCTCTTGTTTTGGAGATATTCAAGATTTGTCTGGATGCCTACTTGTGTGACCTACTGTAGGAAGCCTGCTTTAGCAAGTGGGTTGGAGTCTATGATCCCTAGAGGTCTCTTCCAAACTCTACAATTCTGTGATGATAATATTTTATTTTCAAAAGATAGCTATAAGATGTAAACACTGTTATGGAGACTTTCTACTATTTGGCACCAACTACAATCCTTCTTAAGATGTATTAGTAGTTCTGTATATGGGAGAAACTGAAATGTTAATTTATTTATTTATACTTTTCCTTTGATAAGTCCAGCTGCTCTTCAGAATTTCAACTTTATTCTCTAGATATTTTTTGAATCCTAGACATTACATTAAGAGACTGTAAATAAAGTATACCATTAAGCTTACAAAGGAGTCCAAAACATCCAAGACAGCCATTTCAAAATACTTCAACAGCTGCACACTGTCATATCTACACACACTAATATCATAACCACTGCAGTACAACTCTTTAAATTTATGCTGGTATCCATTCCACCATGTTTGAAATGGCAAAGCAAACAGAACTGTAGAGTGAGCGTTGAGCAGAGACATACTTTTGTTTGGGCAGTGTCTACTGTAGTTGCCACCAGAGCACTGATCAGAAAACATTCACGTATTTATAAATACTAACCAGCAGCACAAATACCCTTAGATGCTGTGACTAACATATATATATTTTTTGCTAAGTTATATTTTGTGCTAAGATGAGAATGGCTTAAGTGTGCTACCCTAAGCGAGTAACAAGTACAGGGTGCTGCACTTGGGTCGGGGCAATCCCAGGTATATATACAGACTGGGGGAAGATCTCCTTGAGAACAGCCCTGTGGAGAAGGACTTGGGGGTCCTGGTGGACAAGAAGCTGGACATGAGCCAGCAGTGTGCGCTTGCAGCCCAGAAGGCCAACTGTGTTCTGGGCTGCATTAAAAAAGGGGTGGCCAGCAGGGAGAGAGAGGTGATTGTCCCCATCTACTCGGCTCTTGTGAGGCCCCATCTGCAGTACTGCATCCAGGCCTCGGGCCCCCAGTACAGGAAGGATGTGGAGCTCTTGGAGTGGGTCCAGAGGAGGGCCACCAAGGTGATCAGAGGACTGGAGCACCTCTCCTATGAAGAAAGGTTGAGGGAACTGGGCTTGTTTAGCTTGGAGAAGAGAAGGCTCCGGGGAGACCTCATTGTGGCCTTCCAGTACTTGAATGGAGCATATAGACAGGAGGGGGAACGGCTGTTTACATGGCTGGATAGGACAAGGAAGAATGGTTTTAAACTGAGACAGGGAAGGTTTAGGTTAGATATTAAGAGGAAGTTCTTTCACACAGAGGGTGGTGACACACTTGGAACAGGATGCCCAAGGAGGCTGTGGATGCCCCATCCCTGGAGGCATTCAAAACCAGGCTGGATGTGGCTCTGGGCAGCCTGGTCTGCTGGTTGGCGACCCTGCACACAGCAGGGGATTGAAACTAGATGATCATTGTGGTCCTTTTCAACCCAGGCGATTCTATGATTCTATGAATTCCAACAAAGGAAATCTTATATAGACAAGGGAGGGGAGAAAGCATGTGTAAAAAGGACTGAGTGCACTGAGATGAGAACAAGGTACATAGTAACACTGGAGGACACTAATACCAAACTATTTTGATCATTTTATAATAAGATTTTTAAATTTATATCAACCATTCTGTAACAGCCTGCTGTTTTGTGAAAGTACTCAGCATAGATAAGTACCATGCATATGCAAGTTAGAAAAATCAGGTCAGGGCCATACGTACCTGACCATAAGCATGGCTGAGCCTTCTGCAATTGAAGAGATGCCCAAGACTGTTCCCAGTACAATGGATACCCACTTCAGCCATGTACACACTCAAAGGATAAATAACATTCTCTGTGTAGATATTCTATCTTCTACTAATGCAGCTGGCTAAAACAGTCTAAATTTGTACCTTTATTTAGTACTTCAGATTTACAAGGATTTATAAAGGAATCTTTATTGGTTTTATCTGAGAGCACACTATTACTGTGCTATAGCACTCTCTGTACAGCCCTCTGTGTAAATTAAAAAAAAAAAAAAAAGAATACTGATTCTTATGAGTTCTTATGAGGTATCTCATGAGAAATAGATTATGATTCAAGAGAGCATTACTTCTGTTGCTCCCTGCTTGGTTGGTATGTCTTACTTGACAGCAGGGTTTTAAACCAGTAGAATTGTAAGCACTGCTATTTTACAGTATACTTTGCGTAAACAGGAAAAAGAATTAATACAATGAAAAGAAAGAAATTGTATACATTTTTGCAGGGAGGTTTTCATTTTTTAACACAGAATTGAACTGTAAAGAAACTGCAAGTCTTCAAAAAATGCTGTCTCATAAATTTCATCTGCTTTAGTATAGTAACAATTAGAATGCTATACATTCTTGAAATGTTCAGCATGTCAAGTTCACTGTTTTAAAATAATGTTTTAAAATTTATTTTTGATATTTGACTTATTTTATGTGCCTATTAAGATTATTTATTATTTTCCCTCCTGATCTGTTCAAAGGGGGAGAAATTAATTTTTACTGACAATTTTTAAATGCACTGCTTATCTCTACACATATAAATTAAAAGCCCTAATTTAATACTCAGCAAGATGAATATGAGTGGAACAGATATCTGAAGGATTCAGTAGCCCTTTTAAGTGCTTAGTATGGATGCAAGAAAGAGCTGAAATGTAAATTAAGTATAAATACTAAGTAGAAAGCCTCGTATTTTTATAGTTTGTTGTTGCTCTTTCTGCACGTTATCAACTTACTAAGATCTGTAACAGTAACAGAATTCCAGGTTCCTGCCTGGAAAATGCAGTGCAGCTATGTCTCACAGCTTTTTCATAAATAACTGAACTTCATTTTCTGTGAATACTGAGTCAATCATTTTCAGGCAATAAAAAAGATGCATGTGACATTCTGAGACGTTTAATTCACAGAAGTGGCATTTATCAATAATACATATTGAGACAGATTGTTTTAAGAAGAAAAGGTGACACGGAGACTTTAAAGCTTTGAATTCTTTAGAAGTGATTGAAAAAAAACCAGCATGAGAAGAAAAAAGAACAAGCACAAAAAGAAACAGCGTGGTGCCAGCAGGAAGCAGTGAAATTGCACTGATTCCTGGAGGCAATCCCAAAGTGGAAGATTCCCTCTCTGCAAGCAGTGATCTTTAATTGCGTATCCACTCACAAACACATCAATCCATTAAGATAAAAAACATTTTCGGTTAAAAGATTCAAACTTCTTGGGATTCATTCCAAAGCTGTGGTTTTTTAGGTAAAGAAGTTCGAGAATTATAATTTTCCTTTTCAAGAGAAAAAAAAAAAAATGCTGTGTTGTACTTCTAATTCTGGCAAACGTCATTACTGCAAATTCTGGAAGAGAAAATCACTGTTTTTACTGTGTTTTATAGCCTCTAAATTTCTGAATGTGATTAAAAAAAAACTTTTTTTTTTTTCAAAACATACATGCAATACTGAGCACACTTATAATCACAGCATCTTTATAATCAAAATGCATCTTCATATAATTCATAATTACGTTACACACCATGTAGTGCATCTCTAGCTTCAGTTTGCACTTACAGAGTCATAGAATGGCTTGGGTTTGAAGGGACCTCAAAGATCATCTAGTTCCACCCCCCCATAATTATGTATAATTATGTGTAATCATAGAATCCTTAGAGTTGGAAGTTTTTTTTTCAATAAACAAGCTAGTTAAAAGTACTGATTCACTTATATCTCTGTAAGTAGAAAACACAGCCACGCCAGACTCATTCATCAAACCTTCGTTTTTTTGGAACTAGGTACAATCCCACTGCATTACAGCTGTGACAAATCCTTAACTCAGTACCAGCAAGGCCACAGCTTTCTGCTCTGAGCGCACAGAACGCAACAGCAGAAATGCAAGGCTCAGCTACAGGTCGGTACCGCTGAGCAGCATTTCCCTGCGGCACCGAAAGAACCGGACACACCGCAGTGCCGCCCCGCAGCGCCGCCCCGCCCTCACAGCGCCCCGCCCGCGGGAGGCGGGAGCGACCTCAGCGCTCTTCTGAGCATGCGCGCCCGCCCGCGCATGCGCCCCGCGGCGGCTCCCTTCATTCTAAGGATGGACTGAAGCTGGCGCGGGCGGGGTGCTGGCAGCTGTTTTTCTTTTCTCGCAGCCCGACCGCTCGGCTTCGGGGTGTGGAGGCCGTCAGCACTGCTGTCCCTCTGCGCCCGGTGAAGAGCCATTCCCCCGTTCGCGTTCCCCTCCGAACGGCGCGTACCCACCTGCAGCCAACACCAGCAGCTCTCCGACCAGTCTGGCCCACCCCCGCGCAGGAGCGACGCCAGCAGATTGGCTCCTTCCGGCGTCACTCTCCCGGCTCTTGTACTCGGAGTGGCTTCGCGGGCTGTCAGTCTTCATGAAAGCCCGCCCATCCCGCCGTGCGGGTGCGTCTCTGACGACACCGCGGGCGCAGCTCAGCCGCAAGGCACCGCCTTTCTTCTGATAGGCCGACACGTGGCGCATTCCGCTGTCACTCAGGCGCCGCTCTGACAGCGGATTGGCTGTCGCTACTCCACAGCAGGTCCTGCTCTCCTTCCCGCCCACCGGGTGGGCGGGTGCGGCCGGCCCGGCTGCGAAGCGATGGGCGGCGTGCGCTGGGCTTTCCCCTGCGCCGCCTGGCGACCCCGCCGCGAGGAGTGGCTGCTGGCGGCGCGGCTGGTGCAGCCCGAGGAGAAGGAGCGCATCGGCCACTTTGTCTATGCCCGCGATGCCAAAGCCGCCTTGGTACACACACGGGGGGGCGGGGGCACGGTGGAGGGGCTGAGCGGCTCCCTCAGGGCCGCGCTGCTGCAGCTGTGTAACGGCCGTCCGTGCTGTGAGCGCGGCCTGGTGCCCTTACGGGGTGATGTGAGGGAGGAGGCAGAAGCGGCTGATCGCGAGGTTACGTGTGAGTGAGTGAGGGCGGCGTGTAGGAGAATAAAGCTGTTTCATTCTGAGACTTCCGCGTGATCCGTTCAGGATTTAAATCCTACGCAGCAATGCGCTACTGATGGCTTTTTGCTGACGAGGCTGTAAGCAGTTACTCGGCGCTTTCAGCTGGTCAGCGTTTCTTGTAGTGCCTGAGTCACTGGATGACTGTTCATAAAAGAAAGCTTTGGAGAGTTTTGCTGTGTAAGAAGGATAATATAAAGAGCATTCATCAGTGCAGGAAGTATCTGAAGTAAATAAGATAGAGGAGGACCAATTTTATGTCCGTCTTCAAGGCTAAGTCTGCTTTCTGTGGACCCTGTCAGTCTCTGTGCTGATAGTGATGTGCATATTGCACACCCAGTTCTGGTGAAAAGCTTGTGGGTTTTGGCTAAATTTACTCGGCGAGGGCTTTTATAAAAGGGAAAACCTAAATGATCTGTCACAAAAGCTCACTTTCACTTGGCAGTAGTGAAAACGTACTTTTTTTAGGTGGGTGGTGTTTTAGCAGCTACAATGATGTTGCACATCACACAGTAGTTCTGTCTGATTCCATTTTATTTCATAGGCCGGTCGCCTGCTGATGCGGAAATTAATTGCAGAAAAGCTGTGCATACCTTGGAATGAAATACACTTGCAAAGGACATCAAAAGGAAAACCTTTTCTGGCAAACAGCATATTCAGTGTATGTTCAAATTACAACTTCAATGTCTCTCATCAAGGAGATTATGCAGTTCTTGCAGCTGAGCCTGAACTTCAAGTTGGCATTGATGTAATGAAGACTAATTTACCAGGTAATGCGTTACTGTGACCAAAGCAGATTTTGTAACGTTTAAGTGCTGAAGACATCAAAATTTCCCAAATAATCAATCTGTGTCCTAGAAATTTAGTGTTATCAGAAGTGTATGTGCACGTATTGTATATTTGCTTTTTATTATTATTATTATTACAGGCTGGATTACAGATTATTATTACTGTTTGCTTAAGGTTTCCTGTTATACCAAATGGGAATATATTTCCAGTTTAGAAACCAGAACCCTGGAAGAGTAAGGTCATGAATGTTGCTGTGATACTGACAGGTTTCGCACCTGCAGATATTTTAATTGCAGGTTTGCTGACCATTAGGGAGGTAGAAGCAAGGACAGCTTTCAGTGTTGGTGCAGTGGGATCCGATTCTCTGAGACCTTAACAGCCTGTGGCTTTGAATGTTTTTTCCCATTCACGTAAATGTGGACTTTGTATGCATCAGCCCTGGTCCCAGGAATGCAACAAACTGGCATGTTTGCTATATGTGTACAGTAATCTTCAGTGACAGAGAATCATCAGGGTGTGTTAGAAGTATCTCTAGAAAGGAGCTACACTTCAAAAATGTCTCCTGTTGGCTTATTTACTTGGATGAAACTTTAAGCTAGCATGATTCTTAGTGAACTTAAGGACCAAAAGCATAAATTGGAATTGTAGTGAAGGATACTTTTAAGTGCACTTTTATGAAGGTCGTTTTGTTCACAAATGCTTAGTGATGGAGAGAAGGAAGTATATTGAGATTTAGGATATACTGATATTTTTCAGATTTTGAGAATCCTTGTCAAACAATCAACCAGTAACACAGCTGAGAAAATCTCTTTCCATAATCTTCAGTTTGTCCAGCACATCATGCTACAAAAAAATTTAATGTAGTAAGAAAAAAAAATTCAAACCCTAACTTCATATTTTTCTGAACGCAGTATGTTTTTTTTGTTGATTATTGTCAGCATTAAATTTTTGGAATGGTACATTTTGTGAATATGCACAGAAACTTTACTACAGTTCAAAACAAAGTTATCTGACTCAATTCCTTGTGCTTACAGACTAATTAAAAAAAATGATGGTCATCAGGTAATGCTGTTACAGGAGTAGAAAGGCTCCAGAACCATGCTGGAGTGTATATCCCCACTATAGCCTGTGAAGGATGCCACACCAGAGCAGCTGGATATTTCCTGCTAGAAACTGTGGGTTGTTGATAAGGCCACATTAGTGCACATACATCTCTGAGGGGACTGGAATAATGCAGAGCCCAAATACTGTGTTATGCTTGAGCACAGTGCTTTTATCATGGCTTTCCCAGGCAAAACAAAACAAAGTGATGAACAGTGCAGCAAATTGCAGAAGCTGAGTGTAGCCATTAACAAGTCCTGAAATTTGATGTACAGCAAGAGCAGGAGCATGCCATGGAGGAAGTGGGCACATACTGAAAGCAAGTCAGTCAGTGCTATAGCCAGAAACAGGAAGTAAAAGTTAAACATAGAATTAACGGTTTTAATATATCTAGCATTCTCCAATCAATGATGTTGTTACCTTGAGTCATTAGGCCCCAGACTGTGACTCAAAGACTGTGATGGTTGGCAGCTGTGCCCTCCCCAACCTACTCACCTCTACCTCCCTCCCCCACTGAGATAAGGAAGACACTCAGAAGGTCTTGGAATACTGCATTCACTTCATAACTTCAGGAGAGAGGCTCCTGCCAGCATCCCCTAGTATTGCTGATGGCAGTGGTTCTGAACTCCTGCAGTAGAGCAAATGGTTCTGCATTGTATTGAACAGCTGCAGTCAGCAGCTGTGAGGATTTGGGAACATAAGCTGCTGTGACAATACAGCAGAGATCAGATACAGACAGTCTTCAGTGTTTTTACCTATAAAGAGAAAAATAATGGTTATTCTGCAGATGCTAGTAATTCCAAAAACTTCAGTGATGAAATTAAATTGACTTTTTTGTAATGAAGTCATGCTGAAAAATTATGTATCTGAATGGCCAGCCCAAAACAAGCTGACAGATTTGAACAGGTTGCCCAAGGAGGCTGTGGATGCCCCGTCCCTGGAGGCATTCAAGGCCAGGCTGGATGTGGCTCTGGGCAGCCTGGTCTGGTGGTTGGTGACCCCGCGCATAGCAGGGGGGTTGAAACTATATGATCATTGTGGTCCTTTTCAACTGAAGCCATTCTATCATTCTATGGTTCCCATGAGATGCAGGCTGATGTGATTCTTGAATGTGTATACTTTCTAATGCTACTTTACCCATCTCAGTGTTTTCACAGAGATCTGGGCATATGTTAACAGAAAATGGTACTACGGGGAAAATCACGGTATCCACTGAATTCATGATGACAAACTTTAGAGTGTTTAGAGGAGTATGAAACACATCATTCCAAGGTTGCTGCTTTTATTTCCAATTTCTGAAGTTCCGTAGTTAGCATACTCTTCAGAAGTAATTCAGCTGTCAACATCTTGTATGGAGCACATATGTTCTGTCTTATGGTAATGAAAGGAATGTGCTTGTCATTATATGCAAGAAGTGACTGTCAGGAGTGTGTCAGTGCCTGGCCTTGCATTTTCCACATTATGCAACTTTACATAAACATTTGTGAATTAAGTTGAAAAATATAATCTACCAGACTTTCATATAGGTTTTGTTTATGGCCATACAGTTTTCTTGCTGGAGTTATAATGCACATCTTTGAAAAAGATAATCTTATAGCAATGTGAATTTATTAGTAGTATGTGGTGGGGAAGCAAGCCAGTGAATAAGCAACATTAAGGATAGAATTTGTAATTGTAGTCTCTGTATTACGAATTAATGCTAGTAGTTTTTCTCACCTAAAATACTTTCTGAGGAAGTTCGTGATAATTCTGAGAAGACAAGATCTGTTTTTATTGCCGTGCTGTGAATACAGGATACCTTTGACTTCACTGATGGTGTTTTCTCTTACAGTTCCACTGGATGGTGCTGTTGTCCTGCAGTTATTAAGCACGTATTTCTGTGCATAATGACTTGCATAGATAGGCTATAATCTCTGGAACAGCAACAAGGACAAAGAGTTCCATGTGTACAAAGTACATTACAGTATTTTTTTTTTTAAATATGCTTGTTTAAGGACAGAACACTCCATCCTCTGATGTTGTCCTACAGAATCTGGAGGTTTCCAATATTCTGTTTCTTACACTCTTTTATTGTTCAACCAGTGAACAAAATATGCATTTTAAATACACAAGAGAATATCATGCAGCTGCAGGTTTTGAGAAATATGCTCAGAAACTGTGTGCTAGTATATACACATAAAGATCAGTGCACATAAACATCGTCTCCTCTTAATCTGTGCTATTTATTTCTGTTTTACGATCAATACTGAAGGTGCCTCTTTCTGTATTACTTTTTCTGCATTATTGAAATCTGAAAAGTGAAACTACTTCTTAGAAGGTGAGGCCAGGCTGCACAAAAAACTATTGCAAATAGAGACAGTTCTACACAAGTTCCAGGGGTTTGCAACATTTCATCATGATTTGTACTTCGTTCAGATATTAAAATAGATAATGTAGTGATAGTAGAAGAGGAAGATTTCCTGTTTTGATATTGCAAGTTACAATTTCTTGAGGTGGTGAGTTTTCTGATAATCCAGCAGGTTATTGTGGTGGGTTTAAATCGTGATTTAATTGACTTGCTGATAAAGAAACACTAAGGTGAAAGATTGTTTTTTTTTCAGATTATTTTAATTTGAATGCTTAAATTGTTTGGGAAAATGCATCCTGTGTTATAAATTCGTTATTGGAAGTAAGTGGATGTCATTTGTACAGAGAGGTAATGCATGTGAAGTTATTTTAACCCTTTCAGTAAAGAAATGACAGTCTGAAATGTTGGAACAAGTGTTAATTTGTTTTGGGTCATGCTTGGGTAACTCATGTTTAGACAAGCTTCTGAACTTGTAATGCTTTTCTAATTTTTGCTTTCCAAAGTTTGCAATAAGGATTTTTTTGAACTCGAAAGAAGTATGAAGACAGATTTGAGTGTTTTTGTCCTTCTTGCAGTACTTTAATTTAGCATGGGTTTTAACTGGTTTTGATTTTATTGTTTTTTTTTTTTCTTATAGCAATCAGCATCCAATCTTTTGCTAGAATAGGCAATTGCCAAGATATTATCTAGGGATGTGACTGTAAATATATAGTTGCACTGTTTTGAGATGAAGAAATTAAATAAGGAATTTGGTTTAATGCTTTTTTTAAAAAAAAATTGGTTAAGGATGTCAGAATTTATACGTATGAAAATACGTCAATTTTAGTTTTACAACAGCACTGAAATAACTAGCTCATATAATTATTGAACTAAAGCATCACAGTGGTCTTATCCCTTTTGATGAGTAAACAGGGAGGAATTTCTTTGTTCTTAGTCTGTTTGAAAATGGGGAAAAAACAGCCATCTTAAACATACCAATAAAGAATGTTACTTAGCAATTTTATTTTTATTCTACTTTTATTCAAATTTCTAACACTGTTTTAACCTGGAATTACATCATGGTTTGTAAAAACACTCCGGTAACTGATTGAGCACTCACACTTGATAAACTGTAAAGGGAATCTGTGACTGAATCTTCTCTTTGAGGGTAAATTGAGGGTAAATCTTAAAATTTCACCAGTTCTTTATGATAATTTTTTGTATGCCAGCATAAAACCATTTTCATTAAAGTAGGAAATGGTATCGAAGTGTAGAGCAGAGACAGTACATTTCTGGCAGATAGATGTGTGGGACATGCTGTGGTTTTGCTACACTGAAATACATCCATCTTCTTCTTACATCTTCTCTTATATAACTTACTGGCTGAATAAGAGGCTCCTACAGTGTCTGGCGTGGACCCATGCATATGCTGATAAGAGGGAGAGGTACTGCAGGACAGCTGACTACTCTCTCTTCTCTGTGGGAAGACCAAACAGAAAAACATGCTGTTTTTTAGATGTCAAATAGGCCAGACAGCCTTATAACTTATGAAGT